AAAAGTGTCGGTGAAGTTGCAGCGTCTAAAGGAGCACAAGGTTCGGAAAAGGCACATCACGAGAAGCCGGATAGAATCCGCGAGCCCTAGCACTAAGAAACTAGCCTGCACAGGGGGTTGGCTGGAGGTTCGACGCTTCTGGAAACGAGGGGCGAGAGAGAGAGTCTGAGTAGTTACTTGCATGCATTAGGGCTGCCATACAGTATGGATGCTGGGTGCGGTTATTATCACGAATCAAGCAAGCAATCAATCAATGGAGTGCCTCGGCTTGGTTGCCTGCGAATGGCAATACATTCGCCCAGTGTTAGTGACTATGGCGTGCCAAAGTGTCATGTCAGCTCACGGCCGGCATTACCTAACGAGATGCACCCCAAAGAGGAAGAAGAAGAGAAAACAAGACGAGAAAACGTGGTGGCCCGCCGGTAGCCATGCGGGGGATTGGAATTCTCATGACCAGCAGCCACGACGCCGCAGACGATTGGCCACCAGCCTGCATCGTGGGCTTGGAACCGGTGAGCACGACAGAGAGGGGCAGCTTTGTTCGTTTTTTTTTCTGCTCAGAAGGGGTCCGGTCAGGTACAGGCACCGTGCAGCGGCCTAGCAGCGGACTGTGGGCTTTTCCATGACTTGCCCAGGACAAACTGATAGTCAGCTTGGGTGAGATGGAAGCAATCCATCAAATAACGTCCAGTCGGGTCCGGCTCTGACGGGGGGCGCTTTTGCTGATGAGTGGCACGGGGCACGTGTGCAATTCGTATTTTTCCCAGCTGAGCCGCGAATCCATCAGTTTGTACAGGATCAATCAATCATGTCAAATCATGGAGCCGACGACAAATTGATTGCCCTCTGCAAGTGCGAGTTCTTGTGCTGTGTGTTGCTGTTGGCTGCTCCTCCAACCAACCATGGAGTCCAATTGTCGTGACTGACAGCACTCTCAGGGGCCCCTAAACTGCCGATGCTAGCCCCCCCAAGTCCCCCTATACAATCCCCTACAGGCCACAGAGGCCCCTCCAACCCTCCCCCCTAACCCGCTCCGCCGTCACCTGAGACCGTACGCCCTGGCCCGCATGCGCCATCCCACACTGTGCGGGCACTTTGGCCACGCAAGGGTCCGGACGGCCACTCATCCCCAACCTGGCACATCGTGAGCCGGTGACTGCGGTGCGAATCCGCCCATCCCCGCATCGTCGCTGCTCCGTCTCCTGTGCTGTGTGAGTCTCCAGAGCAAGGCACGAACTGCTCCCGGGGATCCCCCAAGAGCAAAAAGCCCTGGGGCCACGGCTTGGTGCATCTGCATCTGCATCAGCATCCGCCAACCCCCTGCCCGCCCAAACGTCTAGAATCCGGCCGTCGAAGAGAAGACAAGGCAGACCAGACAGACAGGACCAGGACAGGAGCCGCTGGTGCCCCGCCGCCCGGCTTGACCTGTGGTATCCTACCTATCCTACAGATTCGCACATCCGGGCGATACCTGTACACACGAGTGCCCTGACGAGTGCGATCCCCCATACCGCATATCACATACCGCATACATCCTGCATACCCCAACCCGCATACGAAGCACGGAGGCGACTCGACCCGGTGCGACCACGTCCATACCGCCTCGACCGACAAAACCGTTCTGCCGCTGCCGCATGTCCTGCTCTTAACAGCTCTCACTTCTTCTCCTGGACCTTCCAGCAAGGCTTCCACCACCAATACCCCAATCTCCAGCAGGCATTGTCCTGACGGTCACCTGTCACCGTTGCTCTATCTCTATCTGTCTCTCTCTCTCGATCGAGTGAGCCCCCCCCAGCGCAGATCGCCACACCCGCATCATACATACTTGCAAGTCCAGGTACTGTAGGCATGGCCAATACGGACCAGCCCCGACGGCGCTTTGTGCCCGTCCCGATCGAGACGACGTTTCAATCCTATCGCAAGAATGTCTACGACTACACGTCGCACCAGAGGATAGGCCCCAATCCCGAGCTGACTCCGGAGCCGTCGCCGAGATCCCCGCTAGCACCCTTTCCTCTCGAGGCCCTGGGCAATGAAGCATCGCAAGAGAGGCGGCGCTTTGCTCCCCAGCTCATCGAGACGTCCAGGCGCTCTAGAAGAGTTGGCGAACCTGGGCCGGCCACTCGGCCTGAAGACAAGACGGACATCACTCCCTATACAAACCACATCTACTCTGCCAAGCACAAGTCAAATCGCCGGCAGCATGGAGCAGCAACAGCAGCAGCAGCAGCAGCAGCAGCCGCAGCCGTTGCCGACGAGGAGCCCCGGCGCCAAGCGTCGCGACCGTTTCCGCCCACTAGGCGTGAGACGGAAGAAGAGGGTGTCCAGGAGTACCTCTTGGAGCTGGCGGCTAAAGAAGTCGCACGGCAGATAGAGGAGGCTGCCCTTGCTGCGTTTCCCAACAGCCGCCCCCGCGAAGGTGGCGTGGCCCATTTCTACTTTCGGGAGGGCTCCTCTGATGGCGAGAACTCGCCCGAGGCTAGCCCTCGTGACGAGGAGGCCGGCCAGCACAGGCTCCGGCGTAAATCGTCAAACCTGGGGCTGAACTGGTGGCACAAGCACATGCAAGAGCATGCGTCGCGCTTAGAGCAGGAGAAGACGGGGGAGGATGACCAGATGGATATCGACAACGAAGAGGCCGTGGTGATGACCGAGGACGCCGATGTCGATGTCGATGTCGATGTCGGTGTCGGTGTCGACGCCGTTGCTGCTGCCGCTCCTGGTGATAGCCCAGGGATCTTCCGATCCGACTCTGATCTGGACAAGATGGAGCTGCCGTCCCCTCCCGATCTCATGTGGACCACCACCAAGCCCCTATCGCCTACCGACGACCGGCGAGACTCGGTGGCTGAGCTCCAGATGGCGCTCGCAGAGGCCAATCGCCGTGCAGCCCAGTCCCAGGGCCAAATTGTCAGTTCATCCGCGCAGGCGGTTCCCCCAACCCAGGCCCAGGGCGAGCCGGCTGAGCCCCACCGCGGCCGCCAGGAGGCTAGTCCCTTTGGCCGGCCGTTTGGAGGATTCCGACATGTGCCCGATCATGACCCAAAGCTCCTTAAGTTGCGCCAGGGTCCCTCTCCTCCCATGCTCGGCAGGGACCTCGTCTTTCGACAATGCCCTTCTCCCAAGTTCACCACGCTGGAACCTGAAGATCCTCTTGAAGCACACATGATTGAGGACCAGACTCGGGATCTGCCGGGCCAGGCCGGGCTGTGGAGGGGGTACTGCTGCAGGTCGGAATCAACCGGAGGATGCATTGTCCCCCCCGATCTGCACAATCCCAAGCTGATCCAGACACCCACTGACTCCAGCTTCCCCGAAAAGTCATGCTCCTGTGATGTCGTCGACGCCAGCGTCATCAGCGAAGAGCCCATCTCCATCTTCTCGCCGTCCGAGTCCGCGTCGTCGGGGCTGACGTCGAGCAATGGCGGCGGCCTCTGGGGCTCTTCTTCTCATTCTCACCAGCACCAGCAGCCCCAGGAGCAGCCCCAGGACGAGCAGCACAAGGGCGATGTTGACATGGTCAACGGCCTCAACGAGCGGCTGCTGAGGGAAAAGGCCCAGGCCGAGCGCGACGAAAAGATCCTGCAAGAGTTTGGCGAGGACTTTGTCACGCAGGTGTACAACTACCTGTCGCTGGGCTATCCCGCCATGGCACGTGGCTTCGATGAAGAGCTGTCTCGCATCAGCCACATTGACGTCGACGAGCTGCGGAGAGACGACGCGAAGCAGCTGGCCAAGGGCCACATGGTGGAGATGAAGCTCGACGCTTCCGCCCCAGAAGAGGAGAGATGCCCGAGGTGGGCGGCGTTGCGATCCTACATTACGGAGTGGGCAAGGCAGCACCCTGATCTCGACAACCTCGACCCATTGGCTTGGGGCGTGCGCGAGAGGAGAGGCAGTTGGGCCATCTAAGCTTGCCCTCGCTTTTCCCCTCCTTTTCCTTCTCCGTCTTATCCGTTATGCTGCTGTTATGAATTCATGTGCTGCTTAACACACATACCCCCTTCCACACAGCCTCGTCGTTTACATAAACGTTCATGGCATGACTTTGCTTTTTCACAAAGACGAGCGAGCGAAGAAAAAAGACCGTTGCTGTTGTTGCATTTGACATTTACTACATTTAAACGCAACAACAACGCACAAGTCCACTATATGATATTTTTAATGGCTTCACCCCCTTTTTCATCATTTCATGGCCATAGATGCACACTTTTTTTTTTACTTTTTTTGGTCTTTTCTTCGCCTTCTTCAGGCTCGCTATGTCTTCATTCCTTGATCATTCCGGTGTTTTTCTGCGTTTTTTTTTATTGCGACTTGCATGGCGATGGGTGTCAACCGGCGTAATAGGCACTAGTTCGTTGTGCCCCAAATAGGAGGAATAGCGGGATTTCCTTTTTTTCTTGTTCATTTTTTTTTTATTTTGCCTTTTTTTCGATTTTTTTTCCATAGTATACATGGGCGAGCAAGCACACAAAGTACACAAAGCGAGCGAGTTGAGCGAGACATTGGGAATTGTGGTTTTTTTCCTTTCTCTGAGTAAAAAGAAAAAAAAGGAGAGACTGATGATGCCGAGAACGGGGTTTTTTGTTATAAGAACAAGGTGTAACCAAGAGACGTTGATTATGGATTTTGGGATTTTTTTTTCTGTAGCGGTTTATGGGGTAGCGTGGGTGGGGGATTGAAGCTATCGTGAACGGAGCAACTTGTTCTTGACTCTTTGAATCGTGAATATCATGCTGGTTATATGATGGTATGTGATACATCATGTCTCGTCGATTCATCACCAAAACATCAACAACAGAAATTTACACAAAAGAGAATCAAGTACAAAATATCCACTATCTACTCTTGACAAAACATATTAAAAGTAGTTACCAAACGCCCAGAACGAGGACCTCAGAAATGCTATGCCTCTTTTGTTGCACCCAGCTTTGCTTTTCTTCCTTCTTTGCCCACACACATCTTTTTTTTTGTTACAACTCAGGTTGCTTCGCTTTCTCTCATTTCTTCTTCCCAAGGCCCTTTGATACCTTCTGCATCTTTGTCGGCGGCGCAACCTCGACGTCGCTCTCCTCGTCCTCGCCCATGGACTCATCCACGTCGTCGTAGTTGACCTCGTCCTCATCCAGGGGCTCCTCGCCGTCGTCGCTCTCTTCCTCGCCCTGCTCGGAGCCCTCTTCCTCGTCTTCCGAATCACCGATGAAGCCATTCAGAACACGTTCCTCGTCATCGTCGGCCTCGTCAATGTCGGCGCCACCCTTGCCTTTTCTCCGGGAGCGCACTCCGTTGGCGAGATCCTTCTGCTCGGCGTCGCGCTCCTCGCCCTCGACGTAGATGACATCCTCCTCGTCAGCGTCGTCGTCGCCGTCGCCGAGGAGGCCGGCGCTCCTCTGCATCTTCCTCCGCAGCTCCATCTGGCCTTCGAGAATGTCCAGCTTGCCCTTGAGGGCGAGCAAGCTGTTGAGGCCCTTTGCTCGCTCGGCCAGCACCTTTTGCAGGCTGTTGAGGTCGTGCAGGAGCTTGGGCTGCGCTGCCAGGGCGCCGCCGTGAGCAACCAGCGTCCACTGCACCCAAGTCATGAGGGTGCCGGCGCGGCCAGGCCGTCTGTGTAGCCGGGCGGCCAGCTTGTTGAGCAGGATGCCGGCGAGGGAGCTGTCGATGCGCTCGATTGTGTTTCGGATGGTGGGGATGTCGGTCGTGTGCAGGCAGGACTCGAGGAGGTCTGTGTCGTCGGTTTTCAGGGCTTGGGTGAGGACGGTGGTGAGGGACTGGTGGGTGGGAGGAGCAATGGCATTGCGCGACGCCTGGACAACGGCGTTGGTGTCTGTAGACGACTGCTGCAGCATGGCGGTGACGTCGATAGCCTCACTGCCTCGCAGCAGCTCGCCAAACGAGGGCGACGTCCCCTCGGCGTCTGATTCGGCGTCGTCTGCGTCGTCCTTTTTGGGCTTCTGGTGGCCATTGGCCAAGGGCTTTGACTCTGGGTTCTGCTCAGCCTCGTTGTTCACGTCGTCGACGTCGGACATGTCCTCGTCGCTGTCGGCATCGGAAGAGATCTCTATCGTCTCGACCTGGGAGCTCCGCAGGGCATCCGTTCCGGCCACGGTTGTTCTGGACTCGTCAATTGTGTTTTTAGTGGCCCGTCTCGCATCCGGCTTGACGATGGGGGTAGCCAATTTGGCCGCGGTTTTTCTCTTTGGAGTTGACATGGTATGATGAGCGTGAAGAGTGAGAGGAGAAATAGATGGTGAGAGATGGATAGATGAGAAGGCAACTTGTTGGAGCCTCGTCGGGGGTATATATCCGGTTGGTTGATCGTCCCCTTTTCGCTCTCCTCTTTGGAATGCGGCAATGGCAATGCAAGAACAAGAATCTAGAGAAGAAATGAAAGAGAAAATGCCCAAGTGTCGTTGATCTTCTTCACCACTCTTATCACCGAGTGGATGGGAAAATTTCACAGTAGTCGAGCACTCTGCCCGAACTTTTTTTTTTTTTTTCTATTTGGACTGGCCAAGTCTAGCGTGAGTTGATGTTTCCCCACACTTGCAGTGGTCTGCCGATAAGGATGACATAAGACATTTGCATGTTCTTATCGAAGGTCACGTGATATTTGGATGTGCTCACGTGCCTCGGAGTGAGGCTCCAGTCCAAGTCCGGCGCCATCTCGACAAGGTTGTTGGACCCTTGCTGCCGTAAAATTTCACGTACCCGCACCCGGCCGCTCATTGGCCCGTTGCGTCTACCTTAAAAGAGGCGATCCACATTACATTTCCTCTTGTGAGCTTGAGCGTCACCTGACTAACTAACTAGACCTTGAGAGCGCCACAGCCCGCGCCACAGATTTTTCCAACGACTGCAGAGCGCGGAATACGCAGCACCGGTTTATTGCATGCGCCCCGTGAAAAGAATTTTCTGGCGCGTTCCAGGCTTGTCTTGGGCACGCCTTGGTGCTTTGTTATCGGCGACGCGTGGATCGCCATGTCATCAACTTGGCAAACACACTTCCATATCGGATGCCGCTGACATGATACACTTTTTCTTGCTGTTTTGCTCTTCTTTTCTTTTCCCTTGCTGTGTTTGAGTGCCTGTTTTTTGTTTGTTGGTGATGGATTATGTTGACGGTGGATGTGAGATGTCATCAGTCAGTCAGTACTAATCTCTTCGTCTTCTTTTGCTGGTTTGCCTCCCGCATTTGTCAGATGACAGAAATACATGGACGAGAGAGGCAGCGAGTCAAAACACGATTGACACGACAAATCTCCTCTTTTTGTCCTTTTGTGAACCCGTCAGATGCTGTGAAAAACAACCCATGGCTACCTGTTTTTGTTTCCGAGTTATACACAGCTGAGCCCAAGACTAACCCTGCCCGTTCCCATCCCCCCTTCGGGTATCCCAACAACACAACATGCAGGCATCCACGGAACCCAACATGAGTCCAACTGACCAAGGTCTTTGTTGTTTCCCGCCACGCCCATGCACCTTTTTAACCTGCCAATGTATAGATGACTCTTTGCATGTATATACCTACGAATTCAAGTCGGTTGAAGCAAAAACAAAAATCACGACGGCGTTGCAGGGTAACCAATGTCATCGGCGTGGGCAAAAACGCGGTCAGTGTTAGCTCGACTTGCCAGCAACCCCTAGCCTCGTCCCGCTCACCATAACAAACGGTAGCCTTTTGCCAGGCTGCAATTTTTTCCCTTTTCTCTCTGCCTGTGACACCGCAAAGTGGCCCTAGCCAAAAGCATCAGCCTCGCCGTGGCCAATCAGCGCCGCCCGGACCGCAGCCACCAGCCACAGCTCCCTTAAGCCGGCTGCCCCGGCTAAGCAATAACCCGCCCGCCGCCCCGCTATGTTCAAATCAAGCTCGGCGCGCACGTCGTCTTCGTCTCTCATAAATAGCACCGCGCCTCCGACCGGCAAAATCTCACTGACGTGCACGCGCTTTTCTTCGCAACGGCTCCCCCTCCCCCTCTTCCGAAGCAAGCCCGACCACTGCCAAGAAGAGTACCTGTTTATCTCGTACCAGCCTCGCCGTCATCACCCATTTTCAGCGCCTCAGCGAACATTCCTCCGCGTCTTCGGCGTCTTTAGGTACCTGCCTGCAAAGTACCTCCATCGTACCGTAAAACCTTCCTTCAGCCAACCACGTCGCCCGCATCCGCCTTTGCCGACCTTTATCCCGTCGCAAGGCACAGGCTAGTACTTGTTGCTTATTCCGACCAACCATTGCTCTTTCGCATTCTCTCTCTCCAAAAAATATTCCGCCCGCCTTTTTTTCGGCGAAGCTCTTCCTTGCATCGTGACCGAAGCCTTTCCGCCGGATTTCGTCACTAGCCGCATCGCCGCCGAATCGCCGCATCCATTTCCAATCCAGCCCGGCGCATCGTATCACTACCAGATCGCATCCAGCCGTTGTCGCAGCCGCACGAATTGCGCTTCAGCTCAGCTGTTTCTCGATTCTCGCTGCATTGCCGCCATTGCAGCTGCTCCGCTTTGTGTGTGGCTTGTGGTGCAACTAGAGCTTCCCGCATTGTGCGCGCATCGTGTGCAGCTCGGCTTCCCGCCTCGAATCGCTTCCGCCACCTGCTGTGCGCAACATCTTTAATCCTTATTTTATTTTCCTTCACCTCTTCTCTTCCTCTCATCTTTTCCTCCTCCATCTAGGATTATCCGACATCATCACCCATCTCGTCCTCCCCGCGCCTGTCGCAATCGTGAAGCTTTGCGCTTCTCTCGACGTCGCCAGAGTAGCTTGATTTCGCGGGGCCCTCGCCCTTGCTGTGTTTGATGTCGCGCCTCCTCTACTGAATTCACCACTGCGGATCTTCACCTGCCTCTTGCGCGCGCGCCTTATTTGCAATCTCGTCTACGAATGGCAGCCATGGCGTCGCCAACTACGGACAAACCGTCCCTGTCCGACAAGGACAATGCGGCCGATTTGAACGGGTGAGTGCAGCTACGATTGGATTGGTGGGCTTGGCATCACGTTGCCCCGGATGCGCATCTTCTCATCTGCATCATATGCGCCTGTATTGCTGACCACGGCTGTTGTTTGTGTCCCTCTAGCCACACGCCGCCTGTCTCAGATTCTGCCAAGATCGCCCCGACCGAACCCGATTCTGAAAACAAGACTTCGTCGGACAAGCCTGATGATGCGCTTGTCAATGGCAAGCCGTCGCCGGCCGCAGAGGCAGCTACCCCCAATGGCGTGACCGCCGTTAACGGAGCTGACGAGAAGCCCGAGGAAAAGGATGCTCAACGCGATGCCACACCCGCAGAAGCCAAGACTGAAACCGCACAAGATAAGCCGGCGGACAGCTCCAAGGAGGACAAAGAGGACAAGGAAGACAAGGAGAACAAGGAAGACAAGGAGATCAATGAGAACAAGGAGAACAAGGAAGACAAGTCTGACGGGGAGGAGAAGAAGCCTTCTGAAGAAGCAGTAGCACAAAAAGAAACAGAGGCTGAGCCGGCGGCGCAGGAAAAGTCCGACGTGCAGATGACAGATGCTGCCAACGCAGCTGATGAGGAACCTGCCGCCGCGCCTGCGCCTGCGCCTGCCAAAGATTCTGCACCTGAAGAGTCTACTGGGAAGAAGGCTTCTGACGAGTCCAAACCTTCCACCGCCAACAACGCCGACGCCGATGCTGATGCCGATGCTGACGCCGAGGCCGACACTGTCATGACTGAGGACAAGCCCGCTGTCAAGGCGGAAGAGCCCGCGAAGCCCAAGGCTGAGGAGACATCGGAGGTGCCGCCTTCATCCGAGGTAGACCTTGGGTCCTCAAGCATTTCCCAGCTGGCCATCGAGGGTACCTCACCTGCCAACACATCAATCGAGGTGTCCATGACTGATGCGCCCTCGACCGACGCGCCCGCAAAGAATGCTCGGGAACGAGATGAGGATATGGATGAGGAACCGGCTGCCAAGCGTCCCAAGACGGAGGCCGCGGAAGAAGACGGCGCTGCTACTGCGACTCCCTCTGGCGAGAATGCCGGTACTCCTGCACCTGCTAATGACGGTGGCATGGCACGCCTTAATTCTATATCAAAGTGGAAGGACACGGCGGTTCACGACAAGAAGATTTCACCTTTCCAGCGCCGCGAGATTCGCAAGATTATCGGTAGGGTCAAGAAGACCAAGCACGGTGGCCATTTCCGAGATTCTGTTCCCAAGCTGTGGCCGGCGCTGGCAGAATCTTACCTGGCAAGGATTGACAAGCCCATGGACCTGTCCGAGGTGGATCGAGGCCTGCGCGACCCCAATACAATCTACGTTACGTTTGGCGACATGAAGAACGACCTGCGGCTCATTCTTGAGAATGCCTTTACCTTCAACGGCCCTCAGCATGAAGTGACAGATGCCGCATTCTACGCAATCCGAACCGTGTGGCAGGAAGCCGTTACTATTCCCGAAGAGGAGCCCGCGCGACCCAAGTCTGTGGCCAAGCCAAAGCCCCCCCGTGAGCCTCGCGTCTTGCCCGGCCCCGACACTGCCGTGCGGCGGCAATCCTCAGGCCCAGCATCCAGCCCACCGCCCCCCGTACCCGAATCGAAACCGAAGCCGCAGGCCGCAGAGCCCAGCGTTGATCGTCGCGGCTCAACCGCCACAGACGGAGATAGACCAAAACGGACGGTAAGGGCTCCGAAGCCCAAGGATATCGATTATACCACTAAGCCTTCTCGCAAGAAACTCAAGCCCGAAATGCAATTTTGCGACGAGGTCCTGGCGGAGCTCGTCCACCCCAAGAACTCGACGCTCAACATGTGGTTCCTCGACGCCGTCGATGCTGAAGGTCTGAACATCCCCGACTACTACTCCATCATCAAGAAGCCCATGGACCTGGGTAAGGTGTCGCGCATGATCAATGCGGGCGACATCACTAACGCAAAGGAATTCGACAAGAACGTGCGGCTCGTCTTCCAAAACTGCTACCAGTTCAACGGCCCCCCGGACCAGGGAAACCCAGTGTCCATGGTTGCCAAGCAGCTTGAGGACATGTACCTCCAGCAGATGAAGGGCAAGGACGCCTGGCTGGCGAGATACGCCAAGGCCAACGCCCCCGCCGCTTCCGCATCCAACGCCAGTGACGATGATGACGAGGACGACAGCGAAGAGGACGAGGCCCCGCCCCCCAGCGTAGACAACTCCAAGGAAATCCAGGAGCTCAAGGCGAAACTGGAGGAGGAGAGCAGCAAGCTCAACCGCATGTTTGCCTCGGGCACCCCCCAGGCGCTGATTGATTGCCAAAAGGTCATTGTCGACACCGTGCAGCAGGCTCTGTACAAGGTGGCACAGAGCCAGAACGACGTCAAGACCAAGCACCAGGACAACAAGTCGACCAAGAAGGCCAGCAAGCCCAGCAAGAGCAAGGCGGCCGGAAGCGTTCCCCAGCGCAAGTCTTCCACCCACGCACCGCCGCCCAAAAAGTCGAGCAGTGCGAAGAAACCGGCTCCCAAAAAGAGCCTGTCTGCGGCCGACAAAGATCAGATCGCAAGCGCCATTAACGACCTTGAGTATCCCCATCTGGATCGTGCCATCGACATTATCAAGCGTGACACTGGCCAGAATGTGAGTTATTTTTTTTCCTTTTCCATCTCTCATGTATCTGTGTGATTTCCCAGGTCGATGTGCGTGTGCTAATCCAAATGACTTGCATTAGGAGAACAACGAGGGCGAGCTTGAGCTGGACATTGACCAGCTCAGCAACGAGGCTTTGCTCAAGCTGTGGGAACTCTGTAAAAAAGTGCTCCCTGGATTCGGTAAAGATTCAACCGCCGCCGCCAAGTCGCCCGAAGTTAATAGGGCGGTCCCCGCAAAGCAGACTCCTAAATCGGCCTCGAAGCCCAAGAAGAATAAACCAATGAGCGCCCAAGAGCAAGAGGCTCGCATCGCGCAGCTGACAGCCATCCAACAGCTGTACAAGCCCGGCCAAGAGCCTGCCGATGAGGCGCCCCTTGCCGGCGCGCCGAATCGCCATGATGAGTCCAGCGACGACTCGGATTCCGAGGAGGAGTAGAGGAATGAACCCCTTTGCTCAGGTTAATAGAACTTTGCCATGGCGTAAATGGTTCTGCTGGTAAAAAAAAAAGGAAGGGCTGCGCGCCGGTAATGATTTGGTTTGGGTACCGGCTGAGGTCTACACCGAGCGTAGCAAGCTAAAGAGAGCGGCGCGTGTTTTTTTTTCTTGGCCAAGTAATATTTCGAGTTGTCTGCTTCTTTAGCAGCGAGCGGCCGGGTACAGGAGGGCAAGGCGCGGATGAATCAAGTCCGAGGGGGCCATGGACGTTTTGGGTGGACAAAAGAGGCGCTGGGGAGTTTGGGCCGGTAACGAACAGGGTTTGCGGAAGCTTTTTTTTTTTTTTTTTTTTTGTTGCTGGAATCGCGCTGCATCATTGCGTTTTTCTTGTCACTTTTTGCTTGATGCTTTGATACTTGAGGAGGATGCGAGGAGCGGAGGGCGGGCCTGCTGGAGGACGCTGGGGAATCTTATGTAGTGTAGGATGCATTGTATAACATGACGACGACGCTTGAGATGATATTCCGTTTGATTTCTGTGCCGGTGCTTGAGTGAAGTCTGTTTATTGTCGGCTGAGTTGGCGATACTTTATATATCGCTTTTTGTAGAGCGTCGGGCATGCCCTTGAGTTGGATCGTAGCACGGCGCATGGTGGAAGGATCGGGAAGCGGATGCGCATCGTAAATGGGGTACCTGAACATGGTGATTAATAGGGGCGCAAACGAGACGAGTGCGCTGTTGAAGCTGTTGATTTGAGGGTTGTGAGCTTGTGGAGGATGTAAGTGGATGCGGAATGACGACGAGATTCAGGGTGGTTGAGTGTAAAGCCCTAATTATGCATGTCGCTTGATGGCTGAGGAAAGAAGGAAATAAGATTGAGAGCGAAGACGTGTTTGTGTTTGAAAAAGAAGCAGAAGAGGAAGATGAAAGGCTGGATTGGGAGACGAGCATAGTCGGAGCTTTTATCTTGTTGTTTCTTTCCTGCAAGATTAATTTGGAGGACCGTCTCGGAGTAGCGGATGAAGATGTCGCGAGAATAAAAGCCCATGTTGGACAAGGAGAAGAAAAAGAAAAGGATGTCGAGTGAGGGGCGCTGGTGTTGCTTGCGTGTATGTTAAAAAAGGTGCAAGATGGTCGTCGTGCGGGCGCTGGGCGGGCTTTCTTCGTCTGTTTATGTTTCGGCGGCGAAAGGACTGATGTTGTTTGATTGGTATGAAGCTGAATACGAGTTAACGAGGGAAGGGGAAAATTATGCGCGTGAGAGTGTGAAAGGGTGGAAGAAACTGAGGGTGTTGACGTTGAGCGGAAATGGATATTGGATGGTATTTATTGTAAGATACTAAGGTAAAAGGGGGATGGGCGAGGTGGGAGAAGGTAGTTTTGGTGTTGATGGTATATGGATGGAGGATTTGGGTGAGGACGTGACGGGGAGAGAAAAGCTGGGTGGCTTCCATTTGCCTTTTTCATAATTTATTTTTGGGGGGGAAATGCTGGGCTTTTTTTTTAAGGTTCTGGTACTATCGCTGTGTGCTTTTTATCCTCTAGGTACGTCTACCATTGCAATATTTTTCTAGCATCTGCTACTATTGCCATGTTTTTCTTTCATCTTCCACCATTGCAATATTTTTCTATCATCTGCTACTATTACCCTTTTAGCAACACACTTGCCGAGGTAGGACATTGATGTATTACCCTTTTTTTTTTTTTTTTTTCCTTTTGGCTTTGCGAGGTTATGGCGGCGGATTCCGTTGGTTTGGATGTACTGCTGTGGTGACTGCTGCATCTTGGCCGTGCCGCTTCGGTATGGGGAGAGTACACCTTTAGAATATCTGGGTACCTTGTTTATTCTTGGTAAGTGCATTCAGGAGGAAGATGGAGAGAGAGTTTGGCTGTCAAGTGCTTCTGCATTGTTGCTTTGATACCCAAATTACACCATCATGATGTCAAATTCTGTAGTCTTGTTTCTTGTCTATTCCATGCCCGAACGCGTGCTTCCTCTAGTATCCATCTAATGCATCATGCATCCGATCTGGTCGGCACCGGCAGCTTCCTGTGCAGTCTCGCGCAAATATCGACATAGTCCGGCTCCCCCTCGGGCGTAATCTTGCCGTGTCGGATCAAAAAGTCAATCATGACAGCGCACACGTTCGTCTTGAACTCGCCCGCCAGCATACGCCGCTCGACCTCTTCGCAGCTCATCAGCACAAACTCCTCCACCTCGCCGTCGTCTCCTAGCCGCGGCACTTGATCGCCTTGGCCGGACAGCTCCAGATCGTACGTGTAGAGGATCTCGGAGTGGACCAGTCCGGACCGAGGGTTGCGGTTCGCCATGGTGATGACCCCGGTGGTGCGGACTCGAGGCCCGACAAGAGACACTGGCAGCGAGGCTTCCTCCATGGACTCTGCGAGGATGCAGTCTAGCGGAGAGTCGCTCGCTTTGACGCCGCCGGCGACTGTGCTGTCCAGCATGCCTGGGTATGTGTACAGCGTCTTGCTCCTCCGCGCGACCCAGATGCGAAGCTCTCCGTCCGCTGTTTTTGTATACGCCGTCAAGTGTGCGCCGCGAGTGCCAATGCCGAACAAGGTGGCGGCGAAACGTTCAATCTGGACGGGTTCCCTTGCTCCGGGAACGAGAAAGTACTCGCTGTGCATGCCGTTGAGCGTGGGGAATATCTTGCCGTCAATGGCCGCATCGACGGCTTCCTGGAATGCCGTATTGGCGTGTACGGACAGTGATGTGCAGGCAGGCGGAGCAGAGAGGACCACCTGGCGCTTCTCATGATCGATGGTGAAAGCTGTCGGCCATGGCATGCGGGCGATGGTGTTGGGGTGGATATAGCCATGGGCACGGTCGTCTGGGGCCAGGATCAAACGATAGCAAGGATGGCAGTTTTGCTCAAAGTCTAGCGGCACACTGGAGGGAGAAGAGAGGTAGAGTCAGCCAATTGAACACGCTGTTACATTGAGAGACGGCCCTACTTGTCAAAGACGGTGATGAGCTCCAGCAGACGGGACGGCGTCCGAGTAGTGGCCGGAGCGGCCATGATGTCGGGTCCGGGTCGGGTACCGAGTGGGAATAGGATTGGGAACGGGGATGGCAGGGATTGAAAAGTGCGGGACATGTACACGTAGCCACTGGATCACATATGCCGAGCGGATATCTAGCCGGTCCAGGTACGGTTGACGGATGAAGAGGGTATTGACTCGGAAAGATTTAGAGTTGCCGTGATGAGAAACAAAAGAGGACCCCGCTCTCAATGGCATGGACACGGCGATGTCGGAATCAGGGAATCAATTCTGCAGACAATTACACCGAATGGCAGCGAGGATTTCATGAATAGTAAAGACGAGGAATTGAGTCTGATGTCAACTCGACAGTTGCTCCTTTATGCTCAATCGGTTATAATGACGACAACACAAGGACATGTGGTTGGTCCTGACACAACCTGAGGCTTGCATGCGTCTAGATGCAGAGTTCAGCGCTATTAATAATGCTTATTGGGCCAGTTGGCATTCGCTACACAAACAAGTTGAGCACTTGACATCACCAATTGGATTGCTTGTCTCGGTTGAAGCCCATGCCGATCGGGCTCGAATGGCGTCAAGTTCGGGGGGCAGCCACACCCGAAGGATGAGCTATAAGACGACGTTCCTCCCATCACAGCCAAAGGATTCAGTCTCCATCACCGCTTACCAACTTCGAAGCTATCGTTGCCGTGAGGGGCTGGACCAAATTTGGCAATGGATACGTTGGACGCTCTTCTGAGGCGGGACATTGCCATTGGTGACGATACCAAGGACAAGCTGCTTGGGGCTGCGTTTATAGTGACGAATCGCGATGGTAAGCAACCTCTCTCACCGAAGCCTGCGTTTGAAAGCCCTCAGACGAAGAGCATACCTGTCCCTCTCAAGTAGGTCACCTCTGAGCAAGATTCAACGAGCTAGGTGTCGTCTATTCTGGATCCGCCGGTCGGGTCGGCATGGATGTAAATTCACCAAAATTCGACATTCACACCGTTACTTACGGCGCTTCTCTGACCAAGCTTCCCTCGGCCGTCTGTCTCATGCAGCTGGTGGAACAAGACAGGCTGCCATTGGATTCTGATGTTCGGAAGCTTGTTCCTGAGGTGCAGCAGATGCAGATCTTGCGAGGCTTTACTCCGGAGGGGCAGCCTATACTCGAGGACAATGAGAGGCCCATCACGCTCAAGTACGTGCTTGGCCATGACTCGACATGCCTATATGCACGCGCATACTGATTTCACGGCAGACAGTTGATACTTCACACTGCCGGCCTCCGTTATGACGTTGGAGACCCAGATCTGCGACGATGGTCAAAGGCAATCGGTCGGCCGGTCGGCAAGACGATACGCCTCAGCAGAGACGGCTACAACGTGCCACTTTCGTTTCCTCCCGGCGACGGATGGGCGTATGGCCCTGCCCTGGACTGGGCCGGCATAGCCCTGGAGACGGTAACCGGCACGAAGCTGGGCGACTACATGAAGCAACACGTCCTCGACCCCCTCGGGATGCACGATACGGGATTCCGCGTCAACAAGCTCCCTCACACGGCAGGCCGGAGAGCCGAAGTCACGCTCCGCGATGCCGACGACAAGACTCTCTCGCACTTCGAGGTCGTTCCGGAGGAGCCCGAGATGGACAGCGCCGGGGCCGGCATCCACACAACGGCCGACGACTACGCCCGCCTGCTGCGCGCCATGTTGCAGGCCGAGCCGGGCGTGGTGTCGGGGAAGACGGCGAGAGAAATGTTTTCGCCGCAGCTGGACCCGGCTCAGAGGAGGATGCTGCAGGAGACGCTGTATGCGCCTGATACGAAGCCTGCTTTTATCCCCGAGTTTCCGGAGGGCGTCGAGCTGCAGTATGGGTATGGGGGGTTGTTGGGCGTGAGCGACTGGCCGGGGCAGCGGCGCAAGGGGAGTCTCTGCTGGACGGGGGCGGCGAATTCGCGCTGGGTGAGTTTTCGATATTTGTCTCGGGAC